AGACACAGTCACGCGCAATTAAAAATGGAAATTATGGCTTGATTCGGCAGAGGTATAACGACACGCGCTACTTTTGCGTCACATTAACCAGGGTGGCCAATACTTTTTATACCCCCCTGTATATTGTAAATTACTCAACATATTACAATGTGATAAGGCAAGACTTTTTCAAGTAGTATATAGCATGGGTTATTTACCGAACCTACCATTGATATTATTAATACTAATCAAGATTCTGATAATATAAATGATTCAGAAAACATTAGTGATCCAGCTGATAATTTAGTAGCAGAAGAAAGAGAATTCCGATTCTAAAGAGCCAGATGAAGAAGCTGATAAATCCTAATTAGAAAACGAATTTGCTGATTATCTTCAGGGTTGGGCAGATATGTTTGAGGAGGAGGAAAATGCAGAATTTGATAAAGATTCTGATGAGAATGATATCATTACATTAAATAATATTACTCATCCTGCTATTGATATAGTGCTAAATAGGAAAACTCTTCAAAGATAATATAAATTGAATTTATTTAAATTTACCCACTGGTGAAATTCAAATTTTGATCACCACCGGTTATTTAATAGTATTTTAATTTTAGTTTTACCACTGGTGATTTTCACCATAACACTGTATAACTAAAATTTGTACAAACATGTGGACATTTATAATTAAATATTATCTATCGCTCCTGTACACATCATAAAAAATTGTGTTCAACATGTATTAAATAAAGATGTGATAATTAGTGTTATCTAGGCAAAATTATTTTATTGCAATTTTCACAATGGAAGTAGATTGGGATTTCTTTTTAAACTTTCCTGATGGCACTATTTTACCTACTAATTTTTTTGCAGAAAATAATGAAAGCAATACATTAAAAGATATTATCACACCTCCTAAATCTCCTGTACATTTTTTTGAACTAGAAGAGATACCTATAGAATTACCTTCTCAAAGTCCTAATAATTTTAATGATATTACATATCAATATAATTTTTGCGTAGGAGATAGTTTTGATGATTGGATATCTGTAAATACATTTATATATAATTACTGTTTAGAAAGAGACTTTGGATACCAGACTTTTCGAAATGATAAAGATTCAAAAAATTGTTCTATTATTCTGCACAAGTCATATAGTTGCTCTTACAGTGGTAATTATAAAGCTCGTAAAAATATTGATCAAGATTTACATCATTTATGAAATTCTAACAAGTCTGATTGTGAGTGGCATTGCAACTTTACATTACAAAAAACAGAAAATCGGATAAAATGTACATTAGTAGATGTATATAATCATAAATTAAATCCTACTCAGATAATGCATCTTAATGCAAGATATCTGCAACTTAATGATAAAATGATACAGGATTTAAAATTTTTCACAGACTGCAAAGTAGCATCCTATTGTACAACTGGAGATCTTAAAAAAAAAACACCTACAACATGTGTTGTTTCATAGGCAGAATGTTTATAATTCAATATACCGTTTACATAAAAATGATAATGGAGAAAGCTCTGATATTAGTTCATTTCTTAATGATTTTCTTGAAAAAATAATTCAGGATCCAAGTTGGAAGATATTTGTTTGACATTCAGGCAATGAGCATTGTTTATCAGGATGTCACCTTCTCAGCAAATAAGTATAATATGTACTTAAGTGTTTTCATGATTAAAGATAACTATGGAAAATTTAGAAATGTAGTGAATGCACTTGTAGAAGATGAGTTGGTTTAATAAATGTGCTGCTCACATTTTTCCAACAACACCACATTTCTATTGTCTTTTTCATATTTGGCAAAATATTATCATTTTCATTTATTTAATAAAGCTTTTTATATATGTAGAAATACATTAAGCATAGAAATATTTGACCAGCGATGGGAATCTTTAATAAATGAATTTTCTAATTGAGGTAGTTGGGCTAATATACGCCATTTCAGTTTAATGCTGGAATTCAAAGCACACAAAGTGTTAAGTCATTCAATGCAATTATCAAAAAGGTATTAAATAATGCAAATAGTCTTTGTGATATTGGAAAACTATTGATAAAAGACATGAGGTTGAACTTCAGTATTGTAATTTAGTTAATCTTAAAGCTTGTCAAACAACAGTTGGACTTCCACATTTATCATCTCAATTCTTTTTCAATATTGATGCAGTTCTTAATCACATTTTAACACCCCTTGTATTATCCTAGCAAAAGTTTCAAATTTCACAATCATTTACCTATGAAGGTCATTTGATATCAACTTTAAATGAGGTAAGTAATATTTATTAAAAATCAGATGACATCTTTAGTAAAGTATCTTATATAAATTTTATAGAATTTAGACATTGAAACTGCCAGTAGTAATTTTATTGATGAATCACAAATAACCTTAACATCTCTTTTAAGTGGTATTGAAGTTTTACGAATTATTGAAACATGAAAAATACAACGTATTGGTGGCCTTTCACATAAATGTAATATAGTAGTACTCTTAAGTGATGGAACACATCTTTGTACTTGTTTAGAAACGATTACAAAAGGAATAATTTGTAGATACTTTTGGAGAGTAATGCTCTATTTAAATTCAGCAAAATTTCATATTAGCATTATATCTGTCAGATGGTATTCTAACTAATTTGGATACTAATCTTAAAAACTCACTGATTCTTACAGCAGTAGAAGCATCTACTGATACTTCATATCAAGTTATATGTAAATTTCAAAGTTTATATCATATTCAAGGATCTGATCATAATGAAGTCATTCAACAAAATACTCACAACACTCATCAATGAAATAGATTTGGGATTGCATTTTCTACAGCTAAAACTGCTGTTAATGTTTCATTAGAAACAAATAGTTATCACGAATTAATTCAATTATTAAAGGATTTTATTGAAGCAAAGTGAGAAAATCATATAGGCGATAATAATGAAAATTATGATATAGAAGTTAATGATGGATCTAGTCAAAATGATAGTAATATAATTCCATTACAACAAAATCTGGTTGAATCAATTACTAGTCCGCGTGTAACTAAAATTCAAGGGCCCATCAAAAAAAAGATTGAAGAGTGCAATAGAAATATCAAGAAAAAAAGTTCTAATGTAAGAAATTACAGATAAAAGTAACATTCAGCCTATAAGACAACAATGTAGATGCTTATTATGTGGTAAATTCGGTCACTATCAAAAAAAGTGTCCAGAAAGTAGATGATATTAGGTATGTTATTATTAAATAAAAGTTCATATTCTTAGTTACTTTAATTGGAATTGTAGTAACAGAATTTTTATAACCAAAGATCAGATCGGTTTTGCAATGCTATAATAATCAATGAATCAATGTGTAACAAAATTATAAAACTCTATTTTTTTCATGTAATTCAAGTATAACTTTACTTATAATAAAATTTCTCTGATTTTAATCATATAGTTGCAACATTTATTTTCACCACTGGTGAGTATTAAAATTACCCATATAAATTTACTGTTTTAATTAAAATATTTTGATTCAGAATAATTAAGTTGATAAAATAAAAAATGTGGAACATAAAAATTTCTGGGATCTCATTGACCTCATCCTAAGCATATTCAAAAACAACGAGATCAAACTGTTCTTTCTAATCAGAATTATAACAACCCATAATACATAATTAAATCTGTTCCAAGTGATATCATGCAACAACACATCAGAAGAACCCTTTCCTATTTTGGTAATATTGAACTATTGTCAACAAATATAAGAATAAATATGACTTATCATGTTATGCATTTGCATAATTCACATTTATGTGCTATAATTTCGCATAAAACATGCATTGCACTTTTAAGACAATTTTATATTTATCATTTTAAGAATAAAATTTTTTACAAATGGTCTCATTTTAAAATTCATTTTCATTTAGAAATTAAGAAATTATATTTTAAATTTTGTAATCATGTAGTTAATCATGAACATAAGTCTGTAACTTTCAAATTTATCAAGCATAGATTAGTTTATATATAGTTATCTATTTCAGAAGTTTAATTATAAAAGAATTTTAGATGATAGATGTAGATAACTTAGATAACTTTCAGAAAATTCTTTGAAATTTAATTTTTTTATATTATAATAATCAATAAAATAATAAAATATATTTTTACTATATAAAAATTTTTTATTTGCATATTTTGCATTTTTAGTAATTTTAAAATGCACATTTTTTATTTTTGCACTGCACGAATCCGTGAGCTCTAGCCCACAACATCAATGGTCAAGTGATTAGTATTGTAGCTAGCTTCAAAGGATTCAGAAATAATACATTACCAGCTGAGATCATTTAATGCAAGATTATGCTATTTCTATAACAACATTGCTTATGCTGTTAATACATCAGAAGAAGATATGAAAGAAGCCTGTTCCAATCAAATTACTCATAATGGATACAAGTTAGATGGAAAAGTAAGACAGTTAAACAGGCAATGTATACAAATTGATATATACCCAACCAAAGATGCAAAATTCCAATACTAATGATACTACCGCCTTCTAACATTAATCTTAGCTAAATTATAGGAACTAGATTCCATTAAGGCTCACCTCACCAAATTTGATTCACAAATGCTTCTATTCACCAATAATGAGGGACACCTGGCTCATTGATTATAATATCCCCCATACCAGGCGAATCACAGAATCAAAGTATTCCTATGATAACCGGAATGCTCCCTCTGAAAAAAACCAAAAGATCCATATTTAATGATTAAGATATCAGCAAGAAATTCAAACTAAATGAAACTAAAATTCATAGCCAAAGAATACCAAGTTATTCAAGTATCTGAGGCTTATGAAATAAGCAGACAATTCTTTATCTGAATCTTTCAACTTCAATCATTCTGTTGCATCTTGATAACCAAATTATGTTGTGGAATGCCAATATAAGAAAATTTGAAGGATATTCCTTGAATTTATTGGAGAGTAGAACTCTTTTAATAGTAAAAAGATATTTGAAGGGATTATTCCTTTAGCTATATGGATGCAAGAATTAAGGCTGATAGAGGGATCCAGGAAGTCAAAGAACTGCTATTTGATCATTAAATAAAAGCTATATCTCTTCATTTTTCCTATTTATCAACCAAAGAAAAAGACCAAGACTGAAAAGAAGTAATTATCTATTAAACTAATCTAATTATTGTTTATGACAATAATTAAATTGTCTAGAAAATCATATGTAGATGTGCAAATGGCAATGATGTCCACAAAATGGTGATAATCTTCTTTGTTTGCATTACAAAAACAGAGCCAATCTTTATAAAGATTTGGACGTATGACTGAGAGTTTATCAATCGTTGGTAAGTCTTCAACCAGAGATTTCATCTTGAAGGCTTTTTTATTTCTTTGAATAAAGGAAGTGTAGTGGCTGCTGAGGTATTATCATTAGTTGTGGCAAAGACTGCAGCATTCAAATTCTTCCAAAACTTTCTAGTTGAAGATTCTATAAAAATTGAAGATCATTAAAGATAATATAGTCTAACGTAAGAGGTGGTTTGAAATATTCTTCTTTCACCAGAATATCTGCTAAGTCATTGTAAAAATCTCCTGAGTGTCCTTTGACTTTAGATTTTTGATAATGTGATGGATTAATGATCAGATTGTAACTGCTTTTGATTGGTAGGGACAAACAATGAGAGTAGAAAAAAGTGCAAAAAGTTTAGATAGATCAGGACAAATCCATCTAAGACCCATTTTACAGTTTACTGAAGTTGGATTAATGAGAGATCCATCTGTCTAAGCTAAACACAATGTTTTGAAAGGTTATAACTATGCCGGTCTCCTGGTGGCTCAACAGAAGTTCACATACTCAATATGGTGCTTTTTCCATTATTAGAATACCATCTTCAAACTACTTCACTTTCTTTTAATAAATGTCATTTGCTCTCTGTACTATTACGAAAAATGGTAAAATACAACTCATCAATGGCCTTGTCAACTCCAGATTGCTTATTCAATGACCTTTGGACTCAACAATTAAAATCATTCTCTACTGCTCTCCTTTATAAATTCAACTCCAAGTCCCTTTACAATAATATATCAAAGGTCCAATCACAAAATTCTACATGCCTCACCTCTTTATAAGTAAAACAGACCTTTTGACAAAAGTCTTATCAGAATATAATTGGAGCAAACTTAAGCCTTTTGAAAAATGGACGAGTAGACATAAAAGGTGGATCAATTCCTTTGGATTCAATTCTCTCTCCAAACATCCTAAAAAAGCACAACACAATATTAAACAAAATATAAATTATCTCATCTCTTGGATTGGAATGAAATCATTAACTAAAAAATTCTTGATAGATTAGATAGTAAATTAATTATAGATTAGAATCTCTTAATAATAGTTATATACAGTAGATGTATATAGTACAGACATTAGATTAGATGACAAGAAGAGGGAATTTGTGGTTATTCACCATACAAATTCAGATCAGAAGAATCATTCGAAAAATTGAAGCTCATAATAACAGCAAATCCATCACTCAATATACTGGTTGTGAACTAAATAACTCTGCTCTTATTGACTTTTGTAAGAAACTACCAAACAAACTGAGGAAAGTTTTTGGTGACCCTTTACCTTCTATCACATGTCAGTGAATAGAATGCACTTTTAGCTATTACCTTAGAAAAGAGTTCCGCCTGATCATCAAAATATCGATCCTTTACCAAGTAGTTCTACATCACCAGCAAAGTTGAATGAACAATTAATTAACCAATGTGGTGTTAGAGACATTTCATTGACAAAGCCTTTCTAGTAATTTCTAATAGGTTTAGGAATTAGATAGATATGGGCTATCTTCCATTCTGATGTGTTGTGTCCTAAATGCTTAATCATTTCACATCTTCCTGAGTATCAGGAATCGCATAGTTCTGAAAGTGTTTATTGATATGTTGTTTTATTAATTTAGGTGGAAAGTTGACCATCACCATCCTTGATTAAAAAACAATCCAGAACTATTGACTTTTTTTGATCTACCTAAGGCTGATTGAATCATCCTTTCTGGATTTGATTCATAATGAAGGCAACGCTGATATATAATATTTGATTGATTTCTTTGATAAATTTTTTTCTTCTATTCTGTAAAAGTGCTTTGATACTGTGGTATGTTTTTAATATTACTTTCTTGACCTTTTTAACATCATTGCATGTGATGTATTCTGGTAGTAAGATTGATGGTAGTTTAGCTGAATGAAGGACTTTTTTATAGTGTCAAGGTTATCAGTCCATTCTTTTCCTATAGGCTATGTTTTTGATTTTACTCTAGCAAATCTGAGTAATTTCAGATATCATATATGATAACATTAAAATTTTATGATTTAATTGGTCAGATCTAAAATGAATCTACTAACTATAACCTTTACCTGTTAATGGAAAGGCTTAAGACATAAAAATGCCACACATAGTAGTTTCAAGAATCATCATATTCTACAAATTTGTGATCTATTTACATGTATAATTTGCATGCATTTCATGAAATTTATTTTTGAAATTAAATCAGTAAAATCTGCAGTAAATTAATATTATAATCTGCATTTAGCTAGTGCTGAACTGGAGTTTATCACAGTATAACCTATAATAGAGACTCATATCTTACAGTTTGAGCTAGGATTACCAATCCTTTATATAACTTAGATTAGAGTTTGCATAAAATTTATATGTAAATTCTGATAAAAATTACATATTATAAGAGATTTTTATAAATTTTAATGATCTTATTATCATTAGAATAGTCTTAATAAGAGAAATCTAATGATAGTAAAATTATATTTCTAATATTAATATTAATAAAATTATTATAAAAAATGTATTTTATTATATATATATTATTATGAGTTAAATGAGAAATATTCAAAGTTCTATTTTACCATTAATTTTAAGAAGTATAAATACTTCTTTTTTTTTGTTTTCTTTTTCTAAAATAATATTTCAGACTAGTATATTAAAAAAATGATTTTTTATATCAAATAATAATTATATAAGAATTATTAAGATATAAGAAAACTGATAAGCATATAATATTTTTATAATGTTTTATGATTTTTAATATATTGATATATAAATTAATTCAGTTAAACATATCAGATATATGATATTAACAATCAAATTAATTCTTATATTGTGCTAAAAAAGAATCAGTAAAGTAATTTTATTACTTATGGTTGTTCTTTTTGTATTATCTTTACATTAGTAAATTATAAAAAAACAAAAAGTTTTTTTAAAAAGAAAGACATTAATATTTACATAAAGAAAAAATGAGAAGATTTTCTAATTATATTCATTGATAATATGTAATAATTATGTGATATATGATAGTATATAGTTAATTTTATAATTGTTTAAACCTAAAATTTTTTATATATTAGTAATAGTGATTAGTATATAAGGTGATTAAAAAAGTGTAAATTGGCTTAAATATTAAAATTAAGTGATAATATATAGTATATAACTATATCTTAAAATGATTATAGCTAGATCTAATTATATAAGGTTAATTTAATATAATAATATACTTTAACATATATATTATTATATAAAATGTAGATTAAAGTAAAATTTAATTAATTTATTATCTTTCTTTTTAGGATTTCAATATATATTTCAAGATGATATTATTAAAAATAAATATATTTAGAAAAAACATTACTTAAATACTTTATTAAATTATTTTAAAATTTTTAATTATTAAAATTAAGTATAAATAATAATCAATGAATATAATTAATATATAATTTTAACTTGCAAAATAGATTATATTTTTATAAAATAGAAATTATGTACATTATTCAAAATTTTTATAAAAAGCATATCAGCTTTTTTAATATTTTATTAATTCTATTAAAATGATATAATAAATCAAGTTATATACAGTTCCTGATGAAAAGAATGGTGAAAAGTTTTTAATAAATAACTTTCAAAATTTTTTTTATTCTCAAATGCTTTTGATTAAGAAATTATAAACTCAAAAAATTAAAATATAAAAAGTATTCTCCTTCTCTGTCAATCTGGATTTATAAAAAGCAATAAAATCAGAAGTAAATAGTATTATGAAAGGAAATGCAGAAATCGAAAGATTAAAAGAAATAAATAAAAAACAAGAGTTGGAAATAATTAGATTTAAATACAAGTTAAAATACTAAAAAATTAGAAAGTTAGCCTTTTTTTTCATATTAATTTAACTTCATGCTTTC